AAATTAATTTGGTGAGATTTTTTTTAAGTTCGCGCAGTTTTTATTAATAGGTCTCAAACAAGCAGACGGGTCACCTGGTGGGAAATGAATACTGCCGCCCACTGACAACTACTCTAGAAACGAGTTCTAGTGGAATATCATTACCCAACTTTTTCATCACTAATGGTGGTGATGATCATCTCTTGGTTTCTACGAGGTATTGACTTAAAGTTGGCTTGCTTTATTATGTAGCTTCGCTTGCTTAAAAGAAAATTCTCCATATTCCCAGGAACATTTTTTTATGAATAAAAGAGCCCATGTCCCTTGCTGCATCCTTGGCAATGTGTCTGCAAAATTTCATGCTGATAGGATTAATGGTACAGCGGCGTATAAAATATGAACAAACAAACATTGTTTATTTTTTTTATAAATTATTGACACTGATACGATAGTATCAAATGACCATCGGCAACAAACAGCAGCACCTACCTGTTGAGAAATTAGAGGGGCGTGCTAGCGTGGGCGTCGTACACAGTTTAGAGGCCAGTGTAACTAGATCTATAGTCACACACACAATTTGTTTAGCATAGACAAAGGTAGCTATGGAAACGGTTAGTGTTATGTTTCGAAATTTAAAAATTGATATCAACACTTTTTTTAATAAGTTAATGTAAAAAAGTTACATTTTAAATTATAGGTATAATGTAAATCAGAATATAATAAAAATTTAAAAATATAAATCTTGAACTTAAATGTTAACTTAAACTTGTAAACTTAAACTTATTATGTTTCTAGAAATGCAATTTGTAATCAACCGCCATACGTACAAAACTAGCCGAAAGCACCGCGATTAGAAATATTTCTGGTCATAAATCTCATATTACGTGCAAAAACTAAGGTACAAACTGATCAAGCAATGTTCCTATTAAGATAATAACATCATTAATGTCTAGACCAGACAGACTGTCTAGTTCAAGATTTTTTGTCCAGTTACGATTGTATTCAAAAAGGTTTTATAACATACTCATATTAGAGCTTGGTTTAAAGCACTCGTTAGCGAATGTATCACGGGACAACAACCAGCTGACGAGATATGGTAATTGTCTTCGTAATTTAAAAATAAATACGTCTATAAATAAAGTCAAGGCATAGAGTATGTAGGTAGCTACGCTAAACTTACCTCTAGGTAGATAACCATAAGCATTCCCGAATATAATTTATGTTATTCACAGTTAAAAAAAGGACTAGTTTTACAGTAGTGTTACAGTACAATCGTGTATAACATCTGATATCAATGCACGCGCTCATTAGTCAAATCAAATATCACGCTCTCCGCCGAATTTATGTTACATACTTCCGTCCCTTTCATGAAATTACTCCCACAGATGGCAGAAAAGTGCGATGAAAGATGAAAATTTCAGAATCGTGTTGTAACACAAAAAATTCTAAAGTGTATTATAAAAATAATTAGCTGCCTTACGACTTGTGATCAAGTACATGGCACACCATGTTTAAAAAGTTAAACTTCTCAGCTGATTCGAGCGATATTCTTTTTCCTAAAAGTGATTGCTAAACAGGTAACTCACACTAGCTATCCTTTTCTTTTGGATACATAATTTACGATACAGTGGCTGTTTAACCCACTTGTGAAAGTCAGCACCCGTTTAAAACAGAAATGTACAATAAATAAAGCAGTATTCATACCACGACATATCAATCGCGGCACGACACAAAGCTCATTGTATTCTGGTTTCTTGGCAGCAAAAAGTGTACCGTCAAGACAGGCTTGACACATTTACTTATTGGCCAGAGGTCGACAAACTCGAAAAGCTACCATAAACAATATATTATGTTGAGAGTATGGTGAAAATATACCTGCTAATTGATCATTCGGGTTTAAACTTTTTATACATTTGACTAGGTATTCACACCTTTACATTTCGCGGTTATATTTGGTGAGTTCGGAATTTAAATATTTTTTAGTAGTTTGTAAAATATTTATTTGTTTATATGTGAATTATTAACAATCAGAGATACAGACAACATGTATATTTGTGTGGTTTTTTTCATGGATTTGGTTCATGTGTCATCAGCGTCACATTATGTTTGTAATTTTACTGTGAGTCTAATAAATATTCAGTATTCACAATCATTTGTAAAAAGTAAGGCCGTAGTGTAAGTATTTTTGCAGGAAGTATTGAAACTGGATTAAGCTCTAATACTTTGTTAGTGCAAATATTTAGCTAAGGGTAATGCGTAAATTTGTTTTTATTAGGTCATTCCTTGGATATAAAATGCCCAAAATAATTGGAATTACAGTTAAGTTTCAACAGTTGATTATTATTTACATTTTCTTCGCTCCACACACATCTCTACACTTGCAGTAGGTTTACGTCAAGTGTTCCTACTCTGCGTGGGAAACAAACAAGACAACCTCTTGAAACTACTTATTTGTTCGAAATTTGAATAATGGCTGGTCTTTGGCTTTTCATATATTGTTACTCGGATTCGTATTAAGAAAAAATATATGATAATACGAATGAAATCCGGACTCGGGACAACAGTTTGTGGGTTAGACAAATTTAAGGCTCGAGTGGGAACCGAATTAACAGCAACAGTGTAGTATTACTTTAGCCATTTGGTCGTCCATTCACTTTCCTTAAGCTACGCATATTCTAGATATAAGGAAATCTTAATGCTAGATTTTTTTCTCTCCCTAGTAGTCGAATATTCCTGTGTGCAAAACCTTAAGGTTTGTGAATTTAAGAAATTACATTATATATAATTAAACACAAAAATTTGAGGTACTGCATTTATTTCCTTTGATTTAATTGCTATTGTAGACATGTACTGTCTTTTTATTCGCTTATAATCTTTACCCCTCCAATACATTATCGAATATTCCTATTAGCATGGTAGGTTTCTCAACATTCTACTTCCGTCAGCTAGCAAATTCAAAATCCATCAATCTGCAGTTGGAAGATGAGCAATATACAATTTAATAACTGTTATCCATAACAATGTCAATTTCGCAACAAAAACATTAAATTAACTGTCTTCATTCCTTTAAATTTCTATAGCTTTTAAAAGACTATATTATCCTGTTTACTAGTGTTGCCAGTTATAATATCACTATTTGCGATCGAAGTCCATAATCGGGAATCGAACCCACGACCTCTGGATAAGCAGTTACGATTCGCTAACCAACTAGACCAGTCAAGGTAGTATGTAGATTATGCATAATTTTTAAACTTATTAATGTACGTAGGCGGACTTAATGCCGACAATTTAATTTTACCAGTCAACGGTAGGGTAATGTAGACACATAAATATTGTATGACGTAACTTTTGACCTGGGATCATAAACGCCAGAACACAAAATCCTTCTAAGATGGTAGTTCAAAATGCACCGTTACTTTAACGTGGGCGAAAACATATTATTTCTGTATAATTTAATTGTTTACTTTGAGTATTAATCATAAGGTCCATTATAATAAATGTGATTCTCAATCCATTGATTTTATTTATTTATTAAATCATAATCTTTAAAAACACAAAAGTTATGCACCGTTCGAGCTTAACTTTTGACACGATAGACGACACGCTTCAAAGATAGTTTTTATCATTTTTTTTTGTAAACACAATATGTCACGACGTAGCGTGGCGCGGTACGGCTAGTTAAAATTAATAAATGTGAATTAGGTCAAATTTTGTTGATGACCTTTCAGGTTATTCAGCTTTTTAGATAAATTGGTCTAGACTTTAAACCCCTGAAGTACTTATATAGTGAAATGGTGGGTAAATTAAATGAAAAAAACCATCCTAAGATCTGAACTGTGTCAGGTAAAAATCTTACAGCCGTTAGTTATAGCCCATATTAAAGTTCTTCTTGGCTATTTTAATAATTATAATAATAATATTTTAACACATTTCACACACAGCCGATTGATCCCATACTAGGCAGAGCCTGTTCCATGGTAATCAGACTGCTGATAAACATACCTTTATATTTCTAAATACATACATTATTATTATAGATCAAGTTCACCCAGACACAGAACAAATGACCGTGCTCATCACACAATTATTTGCCCTGGGTGGGAATCGAACCATCGACTTCCGGCTTAGCAGTCAGGGTCACCGTCGAATTTTAATATCTTACAAATAAATATATGCATGATTAAACACTTTTTGGTTTACACACAAACGAAACATTTTAATCGGCCTCCATTTTTTATAGAATCTAACCACAGATGACAATAAGATATGATACTCCACGCTTGTAATCGAATCAAGCGAGCACTGATATCGATTATTTCCACATTATAACCCTATTGTTACCGAATAACGGTCTGACTCAACTATTGTAGAATTAGTTAACTATTGTAGACATTTCGCCATATTATCGAACCGTAATATCTTTCACCGTGATTTCTTTAAATTGTAAGTAAATTATTTTTACAAGACTAAGTAGAATAGCGCTAGGTTGATAGTCTGACATTATTGTATTCCTTGTGACGTGTCTTGCTCTAGGATATATGAGGAGATTTTTTTTAAGGTTTTAAAGTGAACGAATTTACGTACGTGAGATTATAGTGCCTTTTCTGAAAAGGAGGAAACAGAAAAGTAAAGAGGGAGTTAAACCTCTTTCCCGGCTCGTAGCAAAAGTAATGTCAGAGGGAGTTGGAAAGATCTCTCCTGGACAAAAGAGAACGTGAACACCGTCGACAGGTTCCTAAATTCTAAAAATTTCTTTATGTCAGATGACCCTACAAGTCTTCGAATTAAAGATTGTTAATTTTTATAGTTTATTAATTATCTTAACCGATAGTTTGTTCATTTGATTGCAAAAGTCGGGTTGTAGATATAAATATATGTATATTAAAACTTTAAGAAAGTAAATTACTGAATAATTTACAGTCGGTAACAGAGATAAAACACCGTAATCATTTGGGTTTGGTAGGGTCAAATAATATTAATTGAAGTCGCTCTTTCTTCGTCTCCTGTGAAAATAACTATTATTATTTAAGAATATCTTTGGTTACTATACTTACGTCAATTCCGTGATCATCATTCCTGTTCATATTGTAATCCCCTTCATTATTATTCAGCATCTTGTCATCACCTTCAGACTCCATATTACCGCCATTTTTCAAAGCATACTCATTACCGTCATCCATTGGCAAAACGTCGTTTATATTACTATTCAAATGCCCGTTACTTTTGTAATTGATGTCATTACTGCATTGTCGCATAGTCTTATCCGATTCTTTACCGATAATCATATTCGATTGTACGATTTTATCGATATCGTAGTTGTCAAAAATCTTAGACTTTCTCTTGGGGTTCTGAGGTGATTCAATTTTATCGATAACGTTATTATTGTTTCCAAATTTAATCAATTCTGAATCGGACGTATTCGATTTTTTGTTGGTGTCATATTCAATTTGGACCCTTTTCCTTTTGGTGTTAAAATTTTGGCTAAAAATATCGTCGACTATGAGGTCTCGGTTGGTCATATCGGGCAGGTTGACACCGTTCATTTTAGTCATTGTGGCTAATGTTAGGTGCTTCTAATTGGTCACATAGTGCCACGGTGGGGGTTACGTCTTGCCATTGTCGGTATAACAGCCGTAAATCATCGACAGATCATTATCTACCACCAGATGACCGCTATAAACTGACCACTTCACAAAGATCCCTAATTTTAGCACAACAGCTATACAAAAATCAATTTGTACAAGTTCTATATATGCTGGCGATATTGCATTGTTATAGTCAGCGTTAGGCAACTATCGTGAACTTTTACACGATCACTGTGCCGACATTACATTTCGTATGAGAATTCTATTTTCTTAGATCGATGATTTGGATTATCCCTTTCTTTTGTATGCATGTATCTCGCTCTAACATCAAATAATGTTATTGTTTACTTGCCCCGTTATTATTGATGGTATAGGAAATTGCTCGACCAATATGTGATTACTTCTGATGGGATGCTTGTGTGGTTAATATCTTTATTGAAATATAGAATGAAAAAAAGTAAAAAAACCTATGCACTATTGACACTTGTCCACAGATAAAAAAGAACACCTGTAACCGCACTAAATTATTTAAAATTGGAATAATCTAAATTTTGAATTTGAATATTGTCGCGTGTTCGCGTTAGTGTTGGCTCGCGGGCCCACGTGAGCGCCGGTCGAGGTGCGCGTGTCGCTCGGGGCTATCACATGGAGTGGTGAGCGCACGCCGCCGCCGCCTCCAGACGTGATAAAGACGGGGAGTGGTGTAGTACACCGCAAATATGCAGATCAACGAATACATTAACATTTGATAACGGGTTGATCAATGGGACTATATTTGACAAATTAAATGATTAATTATGTAAATAAACAATTCGAACGTTTAGAATTTATTTTCCGTGATCTACTTATTCAAACATTATAAAAAGATTGATTCGACACATACTTTTTACTATCCATTTTACCTATCCAAAACAGAAGTAATAAGGAAATTAAATAAAAAAAAACACTATGTTCATATCATTATCGCTCAATGTCATTATCATAACAATATTGTTTAACAACCATGGGACACAAGAAATTCAATTGAATAGCTGGCCAGAATGCTTTAAAAATATACGTAAATTCTTAGCGTGCGTAACCATTTTTCTTGAATACGTCTATTACAAGTTCTCGTTGAATTCAGTGATACTTTTTTAAATTTTGCTTTTAATATTTTTAAATGATAATAAAGGAAAGAAGAAGATGTAATATTAAGTTTGTTAATTGTTTACATAAAGTTTTATTTACTAAAAGCTGCCGAGAACTGGGTTGTAAGTTTACCACATTCCTGTGAAACGAAATTCGACAAAATCATATTAAAATTAGTTAACTTTGTTCTGCCATAGATTGTATTTTCATAACCTACTAGCTATTGTCCGCGACTACTACGTTTCTAACTTAGACAAGAATGAAATGAAAATGAATGAATGAATTTCCATACAACAGTTTATTCCTTATTTTAACCCCTTAGAGGGAAATTTTCAAAAATCCATTCTTAGTGAGTGCTCACAGTATAAAAAGCATCAGCTGCCAAAATTTCAAGATTGTAGCCAAAGCGGTTTAGGTTCTGCATTTATGAATCAGTCAGATATCGAACAGGTATACTCCGATATAAAAAAAATAATGATGATTTATGATCATGATGATACTTTTATCATGATTATCTGACATACAAACATTTACTACGTCGAAAGCTCCCGCTCGCACTCGGACGCGAATCTATAAGATTGTTTCTTTCATATCCAGTTTGATTGTAACCTGCCGCGTGTGTGCGTGTTTATGAGTATGTATGTATGCGCGTACGCATTCTGGTAAGTGAGATTTTGAAAGCTTGATAATGGAAGAGGAAAATGAGCTTTAGCGTTTCAGTTTGTTCATTGTGACACCTTAGAGGTCTTGCTACGTTAAATATTATTTTATTGCAAACTTGTATTAGCTTCGTCTAACAGTTCTGATGAACCAAGTGTGTGATTTTATTTTTAAAATCTTATTTTACCCATTATTGCTATTGAATATTTTAAAAATATGTACTAAAAGAAAATGAACACACAACATACAGATACATATGATCTCCGTTTTTCACTTTATCCATAATATCAAAATTTGTAACATTCAGGACAAGTAGCTAAGTACATATGTGAAATGTGAAAAAATCTTTCAAGCCTTTTGAAACAAAAGAAATTACAAACACACACATAGAACTGTTATATCTTTTAAAATTAATTACTCTTCGTTAGTCTCATTAAAACTCGAGATCGACTGGACCAATTTGGCTAATTTTGAAATACACATGGAAGTCCAGGGAAAGTTTAATCCGTGAGAAAAGATAAAAAACATTGCTACGAAAATACTAAAAACAACCATTTTATTTTTCCATACAAAGGTGACCACCAGGTCATCTAGTATACTTATATAATAATAACTTATTATTAATGACTTAGTAGGCCAAAACTTCCTTTGTAAGAGGCCTTTTGTTGTTTGTTTGTTGAGAGGCCTATGTCCAGCAGTGGACTAGTAAAGGCTGTTGATGTGTGATGTGATGTGAACTTATTATTTCCTACAAACTTCACTTACACCTAGGTAACTATAAGGATATAAAACTGTATTCGAACCCGTCATAGTCGTAGAATAGCGTCGGATCTGACATTTATTGAACTTTACTGCAGGGCAGCAAATAATTATCTTAGTTTTTTGACAAAACTTTTGTAATTCTAAAGGACAATGGCAGGTCCCCATACATAATTTTATTTGAAGTGAAATGACAGCGTTTAAATATCAAAAATGCCTATAACCCTTGCGAATTTATTGTTGAACATTCTCAAAAAAAAATTACTAGCGAAAGAAGTCTAGGAAAAAAGATATTGGATTTTGAACGTTTCGAGGTTAAGTACTAAAATATTGTAAATGTTTTGTTTGAAACTAGATGGCGTTGTGTGTCATATATTCGAAAATATTATTCATCATTATTATTACTTATAAGCAACCCTATTTTGCTGTAGAAAGTGTTAGCCGACTCTGGGAGAGCTTGGCGGGAACTTCCAAAAAAGCGCGCGCGTTAAGAAACATTAAATTAATTTTTATTAAATATTCGCTAATTTTTTCGTCGTTAAGTCGATTAAAAGCAACTAAATAGTGGTCTAAACAGTGAAAAATGGTGGGAAACGAGGGGGGCGGGGATAACCCGCCCACCTCGCATAAACGTCCTCGGCCTGAGGCCAGAGACGGAGGAACTAAGATGGACTGTGGGGATGGCGGCGGTGCTGGTGAGCGTTTTGACTACTCACCATATATTAAACCTAACTACAAAAGGTTATACCCAGAAAACGGCACCTATCTAGACTTTAAAGTGTATATTGAAGCTACCAACAATACAGATAGAATAGGCAATAAGAGCCCTATCTACCTCAACCATATATTTTCTAATGAAATAAAAGGGGTGACGGCAATACAACGCATTAATGCAAATAAAATAGCAGTAATATTTAAACAGTATAATACAGCCAACAATTTTATTAACAACACGGCTTTTCTCAACAAACATGGCATGAAGGCATTCATTCCAGCTGCGGAAATAGAAAAAACAGGTATAATTAGATTTGTACCAGCAAATATTTCAAACAAAGAATTATATACAAAACTATCATCAATCTATGAAATAGTAGCTATAAGAAGATTCACAAAGAAGGTCGGAGAAGAGCGAGTACCACTACAAACAGTCAGTATTACTTTTCTTTCGAATATACTCCCAGACAATGTACAATATGATTTATTCTCATACAGAGTTTTTGAATATATACCACCATTACAGCAATGTTTCCGTTGCTTTAAATTTAACCACTCGGCTAAAATATGCAACGGCAAACAAAGATGTTCCATTTGTGGAGGTGAACATTTATATAAAGAATGTGATAAACCAACAGAGATCTGCTGTGTCAATTGCAGTGGGCCTCATCTTGCAATTTCTAGATTATGTCCAATTAAGTTAAATAAAATATTAGAAAAGAAAAATAAGATAACTTATGCAAGTGCTACATTAAAGAAACAACACAATATTAAAGATAATACACAATTTCCACCTCTTTCACCTCCAAAAATGAAAATTTCCACAGTAAATAAGCCTGTATATACATCTGTAAATAGACCTGTACATTTATCTGTGAACAAACCTGTATCTGTAAATAATCCTGTACATAATGTAAATAAACCTAAAGACGTCCCTACAAAGGTAGACATCAAAGCCCAAATAGTTGCCAACAACGATGTACTTATGGCCCTAGTACAGACGTTGGTGGAACTGGGTAATAAGGGAGATAGTACGCCCACTACCATAAATAGTATTAAGGAAACTCTACTTAAAAATCTAAATTAATGGATCCAAGTTATACACTGTCTAAGTTACGTATTGCTCAGTATAACATTCAAAGTGCTAATAGCAAGAAACCTTTATTGATTCAATTCTTAGAAAAACAAAATATAGACATTTGCTTACTTAACGAAACATGGTTTAAAGACAATAAATTTAGAATACCTGGATATAATATTTACAATAAAAATTCCAATAATGTTCATAATGGTGTAGCAATACTAATTAAGCCAAACTTAAAGTACAAAGTATTAAATACCAGATTTTATGAAGACATTCAAACTGTTGCTTTGTCCTTATCTACTGTGCATGGTAGCTTGACTATCCTTTGTGTATACTGTCCTCCTTCTAGTGGACACATACATCTCAATAGACTACATAATATAATTAAGGATCTGCCAAAACCCATCTTTGTCAGTGGTGATTTTAATGCTCACCACATTGCATTTGGTTGTCTATCCACTAAGAGTAGAGGTCAGGATTTATTTAATATCATTGATGACTTGGATTTATGTATTTTAAATGATGGTAGTTTTACAACTTGTTCTAGTCCAAGACGAAACCCATCTGCAATTGATGTTAGCTTTATTAGTGCTAACCTCGCCTCAATATGCGAGTGGTCGGT